CAGGCCTTCACATCTCTACCCCTGATGTGCCAGCATGACCCAGAAGTGACGTAGGCAAGTTAGGGGCAACACTCTGGTTTTGGGACAAAACGCTATGGTAAGATTAACCTAAAACCATAGTGTTTTGCCCCAAAACCAGAGCATCCTCCCCGACATCACCCATGTACCTATGTCACTTTCAGGTAACGCAGGCACATCGCTCCACACTGCGGGGGGGGGATTTCCTCCTGGCGGCCAGCGGCAGGCAGGAGCCCACAAAACTAGAAGATCCCCTGCCCATAACTGGGGACTGGCAACCCTCACTCTATCCCATGCTAGTACCAGCCAGACACCAGTAATCTCTATTGCCTTGTCAGATTAGAGGTGCACAAACCAACCCAAGCAGACAATGCAGATAGTCCCAATGCAACTTCTACAAGGGATGGGTAAGTATGGACTCAATAGTTCCTTCATAGATTCATCCCACCATGTAGAAACCTCCACGGCTGAAGGGAAGAGCTGCAAAATCTGCAAGAGCACCATGTGCAAACCCTTTGGCCCACACTTGCTCTGCTGCTAATCGAAAACATAATAACATAAGAAGAGCCCTGCTGGATCAGACCAGTAGTCTATCTAGACCAGAAGAAGAGATTGGACTGATACCCCACCCTTCGCTTGGAGTCCCAGAGCAACTTACAGACTCCTTTCCCTTCCCCTCCTCACAACAGAAACCCTGTGAGGTAGGTGGGGCTAAGAGAGCTCTTTCCAGAACTGTCCTTGAGAGAACAGCTCTGGCAGAACGATGGCTCAAATCCCACTCTGCCACGGAAGCTTGTTGGATGACCTTGGGCCAGTCATACAGCAGCTACAAGTGGGGAATCAAACCTGGTTCTCCCAGATTAGAGTCCACACACTTAACCACTACACCAAACTGGCTCTCCAACATCCTATCTCACACAGCGGCCAACCAGAGGCCTTCCCTGATAAGAACATAAGAAGAGCCCTGCTGGATCAGAGCAGTGATCCATCTAGTCCCCCATCCTGTCTCACACAGTGGCCAACCAGTTCCTCTGGAGGGCCAACAACAGGGAACAGAGGCCCAGGCCTTCCCCTGATCTTACCTCCTGGCTCTGGGATTCAGAAGGTTAGTGCCTCTGAATGTGGAGGTTCCCCTCAGTCACCATGGCTGGTAGCCACTGATAGTCCTATCCTCCCTGAATCTATCTAATCCCTACTTAAAGCTGTTTATTCTTGTGGCCATCACAACATCCTCTGGCAGCAAATTCCACATTTTAATCACTCTCTGGAGGCAGCAGCCAACAGGGAAGAGGCTAGTATGCACTTCATTCACAGTGCAGTGCCAATCACCTGCTGAGCCTATAGCATAACTAGTGTCCACAGTGCCCTGCTGTGTGGTTGCCAAATATCTTGTTCTAGCCAACATCTGAACCACGGCAGACTGCTCAACAGGCCAATGTACAAACACAGCTGTTCCTCTCAGGGGGTGAAGCTATACGGAGAGCTCTACTTGTGGTCTGGTCCCATGGCCCATCAATGCAGCTTACACAGGCAAGGAGCAACATCATTCTTGCTCCCAGTATACTCAATGTCGCTTAATAAATCTGTGGATTACTTTACAGCTGCAGCTCTGTAATTGAGATTTGGTAGACAGGGATTGGTTCCAACCTCCTGCTCGTTATTGACTTTAGCATATTACTATCTGGGAGGAGGACTGAAGCAGTGGTTCAGTTCTTACACGTGTATACTCTTGCAAACAGTGCACATTCCCCAGCCAATGCTTGCATCTGATTAGCCACACAGACCGCATTACTCGAAGGGGGTGTACTGATAAGAGTGCAAAGGTTGTTGGGATGAACAGGGATTGGGGTGGTGATACTGAAACCCTTGAGTGCAGCAAGGAGACAACATGCAGAGAAGTGCTGGCCATAATTATTGGTTTATGGGCAGCCAATAAGCACCGACCAGCCAGCCCAAATCAATGTATTTGATTGACAAAATCTAATCTTGGTTTGGGACTCCGTTCTCAGTTTCTGAGCTACATGCAGTGCTTGAACTGGGAGCAGTGGACCTGCTATGTCTCTGCCTCCCCACAGGACTGTGCTTTTCTCAATAGTATTTCACTAGAGAAATACAACCATGCGTCAATCGTAGGCCATGGATTTGAATCCTAGTGAGTTGGTTGCTGGCATGAAGGCAAACATCACCCTTTTGGCCAACAAAAGGCTGAGCATTAGCAAAACAGGAGGAACACCACAAATTAGACCACACAGCTAACTAGAAAAGACATCAGAAGTCACTAAGTGGCCCTGTCAACCCCAGCCATCTATCTCCCCTTCTGTCCACCCCCTCCACCACTGGAAAACTAGTGCTGAGAAGTAAACTAACAGATTATCAGGCTATCACAGGACAAAAGACAAAGCAGTAGCAGACCTGTTACAGGAGATGTGTTTGCTTTATTAAGCAGATCTGTCTTTGAGGAAGTTCTGCAAAACGGGTTTTCCCACTAGCGCCCCCCCCCCGCCCCAAGACTGGAGACTGCCTTTGCATGGAGAAAAAGCCTCTCAAAAACATTTGAGACAAATTTTGTCCCTATGATATTTCTTATAAAGCATATAGGAATAAAAGTATTCATGCAATATCAAAATGTACAGCATTATAATACTTGGAAAAGGATACTTCTTAGCTTTATAGTGCTGTTTATTTGTATTTATTAGCTTTTCTACATGTTTGTAAGAATATAGTGACAAAGGGATTTGTTAATCAGGAGACTTGCAAATGATTTTATTAAGTGGACACAAAGGGATTTGTTAATCAGGAGACTTTGTAAATGATTTTATTAAGTGGACACAGAGGTGTTATTTCTATTTGATATTTATGTACTTAGTAAATTGGTATATTAAAAAGAAGATCTGCTTAGAGCTGATTAGCTTTTTATTGTTTCTCTTGTTCAGATTCATATCTGTAGTTCTCCTTTCCTGCATTGATCCTAACTCAGTCATGTCAGGGACTCACTATTAACATTTCTATTCCCTACCTACAAGATCCATGCCAATATTTGGGAAAATTTCACTTTAATTTCTGGCCCAGTGTATATAATCCTAATTGCCTGTCGAACTTCACCTTTTGTTCAGAACACTACTGAACCTCTGAACACTACTCCTCACCACATTGAACCTTCCTCTTTTATACCTGATTTAGAATAATTCCCAGCACTGGAGACAGTCTCTTCCACAGTGGAGACATACATCGGACTACTATGTTTTCTCTCCTATATTCCCAAACTCAGAAATAAAA